TCAGCTCGCTTTGCTGAGCAGAGACCAGAGACTCATCACAACAATGATCAATCAAAGTTAGTAAATCCTTCGGTAACACTTTACGTGAAGGGGTGTGCGTAAGACTGACATGACACCTTCATAATCATGACACATGTTTATGACAACTGACATTAAGTGTCATTCGCTCAATTATGACATTTCTAATGCAAATATGACATTGTTTGAGATGTCTTTGTCATGACAACTTGACATTACTAAGACAACACAACCTGTCAATAATGTGTCATAAACATGACATAGCAAAATAATTATCAAACTTAAGAAAGCACTTAGCTTTATGGGTTAACATTACATTAAACTGTCATGTGGTTGGTTTTGACATTGGCTGTCATGAGGCCATTATAACATTTTAATGACAAATTCAATGTGTACCACTGTAGTTGAGGTCAAGAAAAACATTCATGACACAGTTATAATGCCTCATGACAGCCAATGTCAAAACCAACATGACAGTTTAATGTAATGTTAACCCATAAAGCTAAGTGCTTTCTTAAGTTTGATCATTAATCTGCTATGTCATGTTTATGACATGTTTATGACAGGTTGTGTTGTCTTAGTAATGTCAAGTTGTCATGACAAAGACATCTCAAACAATGTCATATTTGCATTAGAAATGTCATAATTGAGCGAATGACACTTAATGACAGTTGTCATAAACATGCATAAACCCTCCTTTACATGTGTCATGTCATGATTATTAAGGATTCATGTCAGTCTTATGCACACCCCTTCAAGTAAAGTGTTACCAATCGTTTTAAAATAAACACAATTAAAATAACCCACTAAAAATTAAATCATAAAAGCAAATTAAAATTAATAAATCATTTTAAAATAAAACAATATCTAATATATATTATATATATGTATAAATATCTAATTCAAATTAATAATAATAAAAAAACTCAAGTCACCTTTATTTATACAGCAATATACAGTATATTGTATCAAAGCAGCTTTACAGAGATAACAGGAGAATAATGTTTGCGTCTCAGTCCAGCTTAAGTCAGTTCAGTGACGCTTCAGTTTTGTTGTAAAAACGTTATTGATTTAGTTCATTTAAACTCAATAAAATACTGTTCAACATGATCAGTTCTGCTGATTCATAATTCTGTGGAAACTGTTACGTTTTATTTTTCAGCATTCTTTGATGAATAAAAAGTTCAAAAGAACAGCATTTATTTGAAATATAATCTTTTGTAACATTATAAATGTCTTTACTGTCACTTTTGATCAGTTTAATGCGTCCTTGAGGAATAAAAGTATTAAATTCTTCCAAATAAATCTAACTGACCCCAAACTATAATATAATATAAAAATAATTTGAATATTATAAAAGTAGATTTTTTTAGTCCAGTCTTCAGTGTCACATGATCCTTCAGAAATCACTCTAATATGATGATCTGATGCTCAAGAAACATTTATGATTATGATACCGCCGTCAGATGGAGGGAGTGACTGTGATCTGGATGTTTATTCAGAAGTTCACAGTGTCTTCAATTGACAATTAATAACTAATTAGTCCAACACTGGATGGCGATACACTTTAAACTTTCACATTCTCTCTCTTTTCTGACTGACTGCAGAAACTAAAAGTTACATATTCAAGAGAAACACAGTTTCACTAAAAACTGTCAATAAAGCAGAAGTTTTGAGTGTTATCTCAAAGTAAATCTCAATGAAGCGAGAGCGATATCTCTGATCCTCTGTGTGATGAGATGAGGGACATGTAGTGCACAACACAAACATCTCAGCCAAAGAGCGTTACGTGTGTGTGTGTGTGTGTGTGTGTGTGTGTGTGTGTGTGTGTGTGAGAGAGAGAGAGAGAGAGAGAGAGAGAGAGAGAGAGAGAGAGAGAGAGAGAGAGAGAGAGAGAGAGAGAGAGAGAGAGTGTGTGTGTGTGTGTGTGTGTGTCTGAGAGAGAGAGAGAGAGAGAGAGAGAGAGAGAGAGAGAGAGAGAGAGAGAGAGAGAGAGAGAGAGAGAGAGAGAGAGAGAGAGAGAGAGTGTGTGTAAATATGGTACAGTTGCATAACATGAACTGATTGAATGTTAAATATTGTTTAATATTAAACAAGTATATTAATATTTCTCCTTTGACTGTTCATGATCTGCAGAATAAATGTATAATCTCTAATACATGCCGTTATCAGTGTAAACACTTACTCTGGTGTGTGTCTCGCAGTCGCCGGAGTCTCTGAGGTGAAGCTGGCCACATCTCACCATCATCACCATCACCATCATCATCATCAGACAGCTCTGCAGAAGAGCGCTCAAACTAACCTTCATCATCATCATCATCATCACTCGCCAACTCAGCGTTCACCGCTGCCGCTCACAGTAACGCGCGCGACGGACGGAGGCCGGGCTGTGCTCCTCATCCCGGAGGAGACCCGAGTCACCCATCCACAGCCGAGGAGGACCTCCGCAGATCCATGAGAAGACCAGCCTGTCACACACTCGTGAGCCACACTGGGAATCCCTTCACACACACATCCTGATCACACACACACTCAACTCTCTAAAGTTTGTAGTTTAGAAGATCCTCTTCGATTTTCTCCTCAAACTCGCCGAATGACGCGCGTCAGTAAAACACCCGCTTCCTCCGCGGGTTCTGTCGCTCACTGAGTGAGTTCCCTCTCTCTCTCTCTCTCTCTCTCTCTCTCTCTCTCTCTCTCTCTCTCTCTCTCTCTCTCTCTCTCTCTCTCTCTCTCTCTCTCTCTCTCTCTCTCTCTCTCTCTGTGTGTGTGGCTTTACCTTCCCCCAGCCCCTCACTCTCCCCCACACAGGGTAAATAATGTGATTTGAGCATCTCGGACCCCCGCAGGAGCGCGCGCGACACACAGCGAGTCCAAACGCACGCGCGCGCGGCTCACGAGTCTGTCACACACACACACACACACACACACACACATCTAGTGTTTGATTTCTGAGTGACTTCAGACGGATCTGAATCCTGAACCTGTGCAAGACAACTTTGTTTTGCACATTTAGAATATATATTGATGAACTTGTTTCCACTGAGGACTGATGTTCATAATCTGACTCAACACTCGACAGTCAAGCTTTATTTCTACAGCGCTTTATACAGTACAGACTACAGAGTGTTAAAAGCAGCTTTACAGAGATAACAGGACAATAATGCAACAATGTTTGTTTCCAGAAGAGAATAGCGTCACAGTCCAGCTTCAGGAAGATCAGTGATGGTTCATTTCTGTGGTAAAAAAAGTTATTAATTTAGTTCATATATATATATATATATATATATATATATATATATATAGCCATTCTAGAGTAAACCCTGATGTCATCGTCCAGCTCAGTTCAGTTCTCATATAATGCTGTCAATGCAGGAGATCAATAATATTGCTGAATAAATAAATATAAATATATAAAAATGTCCCCAACTAAGCAAGCCAAAAGCCGAAGGCAACAGTTTATGGAGCGTTTATGAACACTGAGTCTCTGATTTTCTTTTCCCCATAAACAACTGAAACTTACTTTGCTCATACAGGGCATTACAACCACCCATCAAAACACATATTAATACAAATGTGATAACTATTGTACTTTTGGGTTTTTTTTTACACTTGTGTTGTTCTCACTTCCTCAGAAACGACACAGAAAGCGGTGTATATGTTTGGCGGTGCTGTGTTGTGTTACTGGCACACTTTGGACTCAGTGTCTTAATATCAACAAGTCTTGATATCTTCAGGCGTTTTGCTTCTCCAGTAAATGTCACTGTCAGACTGTGATTTTGCAATGCTTAGTTTTTTCTCACACTAATATAAATTAAATATTAATGCTGACAATATTCCTCTTAATAAACCCTCGATGCCATGGAGAACACCGCAGTATGTGAGCATCTTCATCCTCATCCTCATCCTCAGTGCGCTGAGAGGGCAGGTTACAGCTCCCTCCTGTGGCGGTTATGAAATATGCACAATAATAACTCCAGACATGTTTGGGATATTTCAGTCTGAAGGCTTCTTGAGTTTGACGATCAGAAGCTGAAGATCCGTCATGGGTTTGATTCCCAGTCAATGCATGAACTCATAATGAATATAATAAGAGTCACTTTGGCTGATAACTGTGTAAAATCATCTGAGACAGTGTCTATCTATGAGTGTAATGACACAGTTATTAATACATGCAACAATATCTTGAATAAAGACGTGATACACTTGAAAAATAAAGGTTCCAAAAGGGGCCCCGCTAATGTTCTCTCAAGGTTATAAACTAACGTTTCGTTAACTGGCCTTTAATAATGTTCTCAAAATATAGCACAAAAACCATTATTTATACATCGTTCAGGGAATGCATTAATGTTTTTTTTAATGCAACTACTTGTTTCCCATTATAATTGCATTATAAATAGGAATGTTCCATTAACATTGATATATCTAAAAAGAAAACTGGATGTTTTGAAAGTTTAGAGAACATTTATGAATAACAGTAACACTTTACAATAAGGTTCAGGTTCAGGTTCCTTTATTTGTACCCGTAGGTAGATGTGTTTTGCAGTGTCAGAGTTATCCACACAATTTTTACGACAAACACAGACAATACACATTTGACAACAATAAAATAAAAAAGATTAAAAAAATAAAAATAAATAAAACATAGCTTCTGTGTCATCTGTGCATTTTGTTCCTCTGATTGATGGCTGCTGGAACAAAGCTATTTTTAGACCGCTTTGTTCTGCACTTTGGGACTATATACCTTCGTCTGGAGGATGGGCATCATCATTTAAAATTGAGCCAGTTATCCGCTGTAACTGTCTGGTGTACAGGGACACTGGACTAAACTGTGACACACCAATCAGCATACTAGACCATTTAACAATTTGATTTAGGGAATTTCTATTCTTTAAGGATAGATTTCCAAACCATGACACCAGAGAAAAAGATAAAATTGATTCAATAAAAGCACGATAGAATAAGACCATCATGGTTCCCTTTCGAGGGAACTCTCGATGCGTCACTTGACGCCTTGGGAACGCCCCCAGCGTGCATGCGTCTGAGCATCAATGTCAACTAGTCCAATGGAAAGAATGAGCGTCACGGGCGGGTGACGTCATGACCAGGAAGGGATAAAGGCTCACCCGGTGAAACGCGGCATTAGCTTCTGTGTCTCAGCAAAAGCGATCTGTGTCATTTTGTCTCTGTCTATTTACTGTTGTCTGTTGCGGAAAAGGATGGAAACTAAACAAGTGTACAAACAGTGTGCTTCTCCCTGCCCGCGTTATTTAACGGGTGGGGACACACACGAGCTTTGTGTCGTTTGTTTGGGAGTGGAGCATGCGGTCTTAGCCTTCGAGGGGGCTGAGTGCCAGCATTGTGAGATGTTACCGCTTCGCATGCTCCGCTCTCGCCTGTCACTCTTTGATAAAGAGAGTGGGCAGGCTCGCGATCCACAGGGATCAGGACCCGCGTCTGCTGAGGCAGCGCGGAGATTGCATTCCTGGGGATCGCAAAAGGAACTTTCGGAGGGGTTGGAGACGGGTCCGAGGGCTCTTTCTCCTTCCTTACCCGAGAGATCCAACGCTCTCCCCCCGGTGTCGGAAGCACGCTCTGCGGTTTCTTCCGCCCGGGGAGAGAGCCCTCCATTACTTTATTGCTCTTCCTCCGAGGAGGTTGATGCGATGAGTTTGGAGAGTGAAAGCACACACATGGGGGAAAGAGATTCACAATTTATTTCCCCAGCATATGATGAGCTGGTGGATGTTATGTCGCGGGCTGTAGAGAAATTAAATATTGAATGGCCATCTGAGAAGAAGGGCGCTCGTCCTAAAAGCAAATTAGATGAGCGCTTTTTATCTTCCACCACATTATCTCCACCACGAGGGCTTCCATTTTTTCCCGATTTGCACAATGAAATATCTAAATCGTGGAATAAACCTTACTCATCACGTCTTTTCAGCCCTCAAGTTAACACTTATTCGAGAATAAGAGGGCTGAAAGAGTATGGTTATGAGGCGATGCCCCAGGCGGAAGAGAATTTAGCCAGTTATCTTTCCCCTGGTCCCGCATCGTCTCTGAAAGCCTCGGCTTTGCCCACTAGACCGCTCAAAGCCACTTCGGTGTTAGTGGGTAAAGCTTATACGGCAGCAGGTCAAGCTGGAGCATGTCTGCATACTATGGCAGTGCTCCAGGCTTATCAAGCTGACCTGCTGGGGGATCTGGATAGTAGTGAGGGAGTCAGTCATGACGATATTCGTGAACTTCGTCGGGCTACCGATCTTTCTCTCAGGGCTACTAAGGAGACCGCCAGAGCAATTGGGCGGTCTATGGCAGCCTTGGTAGCTACTGAGAGACATTTATGGTTAAATCTGTCTGAAATTAAAGAAAAAGATCGAGCTTTTTTATTAGATGCTCCGCTTGAACCTTCTGGTCTCTTCGGCGACGCAGTCCACGCGGTCGTCGAGAGATTTCAGGAGTCAAAGAAACAAGCTGACGTTTTTAAAAAGTTTATCCCTCGCCGGGTCCAGCCCCCTGGGGCTGCTGGGCGTGAGCAGCCCCAGCCGTCGAGCTCATCATATCGTGTGCATCAGAAAGAGAGTGTTGCGTCTCGTGCACCTCCACGTAGAGACTGGAGACGGACGCAACCCTCTCAACCGAAGTCTTCTAAGTCGAAGCCGGATCTGAGGACCGTTCTTCAGGCGAAGAAGGCTTCGGTTCAAAAAAAAAAGGTCCTGATGTTCATGCATCAGGCCTGTGAGGACAGCCCCGACCGAAGTGGAGCGGTGTACACCTCATTATACGGTGCCCGTTCCATTTCGGGGTCCTCACGAGACCGTTCTGCCAACCCTGCCACCCTTGGTGCTTCAGGGCGCAGCGGTCTCCAGCGAGTCGCTGATGCTATGCTGCGGCACAGCATCGGTTTCGCGCCCTCTGAGGGGGGCCTTAGAGCGGCCAGTTCAGGTAGTTCCTGCCATTATGTTTCAGGCTCCGGAATTAGCCGTCTCGATAACACCAGAGACCAGCCTCGAGAGGCTGGTTCCCTTAGTAAATTTTCTGGCAGCGTGGAAGCTTCTGCCGAATATTTCTCGTTGGGTCCTGCAGATTGTAGAGAAAGGATACAGAATCCAGTTTGGTTCTCGTCCTCCTCGTTACAACGGGGTGCTGCCCACAGTGGTGCATCCCGAGCAGGCTCTGGTAATGGAGCAAGAGGTAAAGGCCCTGTTAGCAAAGGAAGCTATAGAACAGGTGTACTCACCCGACAGAGAGACGGGTTTTTACAGCCGTTATTTCATTGTTCCAAAAAAGGATGGAGGGTTGCGTCCCATTTTAGATCTTCGTCTGTTAAATCGTTCAGTACAGAAACTCAAGTTCAAGATGCTGACACTCAAGCAGATCGTGACTCAAATCAGATCCGAGGACTGGTTTGTCACGATAGATCTGAAGGACGCTTACTTCCATGTCTCCATCCTCCCTCAGCACAGGAAGTTCCTAAGGTTTTCT